GATGGGCTGAATAGCCTCCTTCCGCTCCAGCGTCTTATCGTCTGATAACTCCTTCCTTGACTCCCTCAGCAGTCTGGGGTACATCTAATCCAGATGTGCAAATTTATCTAATCTTAAGGCTGCCAAGCCTGCTAACGTCTCTCTTCTCTTTTCTCTCCCTCTTAATTTGTTAAAATATTTCATGGTCCATCACCCTAATGTCTATGCCTGCTTCTCCCTTGTTCATTGTGAAAACCGAGGCAAAACATTCATTGAAGACTGCCCACATCTTCAGGTTACTCAATGGCCTCTAATGGGCCAACTCTTTCCCTGGTTATTACTTTGCTCTTTGTTTTTGTTTTGCACAAAATTTCTTTGGGTTTTCCTTTATTCTATCCACCAATGTTTTCTCATGCATTGCCTTTGTTTTCCTAATTTCCCTGTAAAGTTTGCCCCTGCCCTTTATATTCCTCTAGGGACTCGGATGAAATTGAACTCTTTGTCTGCCATAAGCTTTTTTTTCCCCTTATTCTTAATCATTATATCCCTTGACATCCAGTGTTCTCCAGTCTTGGTTTCACCCATTTGCCTTTACAGGAACACACTTGCCTTGTACTTTTGCTATGTTTTCCTTGAATGTTTCCCACTGCTCTGACACCATTTTATCTGCAAGTAGCCAAGCCCAGTCCGCTTGGGCAAAATCATATCTTGATGAAATTAGCCTTCTCTAGCTTTTATTTCCAATTCCATCCTTATTATTTTCCATAATTATTCAAAATTTAACTGAGTTATGATCACTACCAAAATGTTCCCCAACTGATGCACTTTCTATCTGCCTGGGCTCATTTCAGAATAATGTGTCTTGTTGGGCTTCCTACAGACTGGTTTAAAAAGTTCTCCTAGGTGCAATTTAAGAATTTTGTTCTCTCTCTACCTTGCATAGTAAAATTTTCCCAGTCAGTATTTGGGTAGTTAAAATCCCTTTCTGTTACTGTCACATTTTTCTTACACTTGTATGGTAATTTTAACAGTTCGTAGATAGGAAACTGCTCCAGGGCTGATATCACCAAGGCCTTGTATAGCTGCAGTTAGATATCCTTGCTCCTGCACTCAAATGCTCTCTTTCCCATTTGCCTTCCTGGCTGCTTACTGCACCTGCATATTTGTTTTTAGTGATTTTGGTTTACAGGCCATCCAAGCCTTTTTGTACATCAATATTTCCAATCTACCACCTTTTAAATATAATTCGTCCATTCTGCTATTTTTTGTATCAAAGTGGATAACTTCACATTTATCCTCATTCTATTGCGTCTGCCATGTATTTGCCAACTTGGTCAATTAGTTAACTCAAAGCCTTTTTACATTCTCCTCACCATTCACAATTACACCTAATCTTGTGTCAACAGCACACATTACATTTGATTCCACTATCCAAATGTTGATTATATATTGTGAATAGCTGGAGTCGAAGCACTGATCCCTACGGTACCCACTAGTTTCCATTCCATTCCCAAAAATATTTATTTAGTTCTACTCTATTTCCTGCCTGCTAATAAATTGTCGTTCCATGCCAATTTATTACTGCTAGTCCCATATTGTTTAATTTTACACACTAATCTCTTAAATGGGATGTTGTCAAAAGCTTTCTGAAAATCCAAATACGCCGCATCCACTGTTTTCTCTTATCTATTCCACTAGTTTATCCACAGACTCCAGTAGGTTTTTTAATGTGGTTCTCCTTCCATAAATCCATGTTTACTTTGTCTCATGTTTATATTTGCTAAGTACCCTATTACTACATCCTTCACAATAGACTGTAACATTTTCCTGACCACTGATGATAGGCTAACCAGTCTGTAATTCCCTGTTTTGTCCCTCCCCTCACTTTTTTAAAACTGTGGGGTTACATTTTTCTTAATCTAATTTGCCAGGACTGAACCAGAATCTGCAGGATTTTGGATGATAGCAACCAATGCATCCAGTATTTCTGTGATTATCTTCTTCATTAACCTGGCATGTAGATAATTGAGTCCCATTAATTTGTGCAGCAATTTTTTCTTACTAATACTGATTTCCTTCATTTCCTCCTCCTCAATAGATTTTTGTTTCCCTGGCACTTTTGGGAAATTTATTTGTTGTCTTATGTAAAGACAGAACTGAAGGCAGCAGTTGATTAGTTTTGCCCTTTCCTTCTCCTCTATTATCAGTTCTCCTGTTTCAGTCTGTATGGGCCTACGTGTGTCTTTACTAACCTTTTTTCTTTTTGCATGGGCAAAAAATTACAGTCTGCTTTTATATTGGTTGAAGTTTTCTCTCCTACTCTCTATTCCTCTTCCTCCTCCTCCTGTCCACGCCCCCTCCATTCTTATGCTTTCCTTTGCTGCATTCCAAACTGCTTCCACTCCTAAGGCTTGTTACTTTTTCTAGAAACTTTAACAATTCGTCTTTGAATTTAATATTACCTTTTGATTCTTTTTGTTAGCTATGGCTGTGTGCCACTTTTCCTGTTGTGCTTTTGAACCAGAAAGAAATGTATAACTTTCACAATGGGCTTCGTAATATCCTTTGTTTTAGATTTAGGGCCCAAGTTTTGGAGTAGACTGCTTCAGTAAAGAATTGTGTTATGGTCACTCTTCCCTAAAGGACTTGCACAACAAGATTATTAATTAACCCCTTCTTGACAATACCAAACCTAGAAAAGCCTGTTCCCCAATTGGTTCTTCAATATGCTGATGGGGGGGGGAAAAAAAATCTAGTCCACACTCCAGAAATTCATCTGCCACAGTGTTATTGCTTAATGTGGTTTTCTGAGTCAGTATACAGATAACGTATTCAATAAGTACCATCCTTGCTATGTGCTGAAATAGCAAGAGCTGCCGATTCCGGAGTCCGAGACAACACAGTGAGGAGCTGAAGGAACACAGCAGACCAGGCAGCATCAGAGGAGCAAGAAAGTTGACATTTCCAGTTGGGACCATTATTCAGAAATGGGGAAGGGGAAGGGAGATGGGCAATAAATAGACAGGAGGAGTGGGGCTGGGGGAAGGTAGCTGGGATGGTGATAAGTGAGTATAGGTAGGGAGTGGTGGCGATGGGTGGGGCAGATGGGGGGGAAGGAAGATGGACAGGTTGTGTCAGGTCAAGGAGGCGGGGATGAGGAGGAGGATTGGACATGGGATGAGGCCGAGGTGGGAGATTTTAAACTGGGTGAATTCCATGTTTAGGCCATCGGCCTGTAGGCTCCTGAAGCAGAATATGATGTGTTGCTCCTGCAGTTTGCAGGTGGCATTGTTGTGACACTGGAGGAGGCCCAGGATGGATGTGTCACCCAAGGAGTGGGAGAGGGAACTAAAATGGTTGGTGAATGGATGATGTTGTCATTTGTCGTGTACAGAGTGTAGATGCTCTACGAAACTGTCTCCGAGTCTACACTTGGTCTCACCGATGTAGATCAGGCCACATCGGGAGCAGCGGATACAGTAGACCATGTTGATGGATGTGCAGGTGAACCCCTGTCTAATATAGAAGGTTTGTTTTGTGCCTTGAATGGAGATGAGGGGGCAGGTGTAGCAATTCCTGCGGTTGCAGGGAAAGGTGCCGGGGGTGGTGGGGCTAGTGGGGAGTGTGGAGCGGACAAAGGTGTCATGGAGAGAGTGGTCCCTATGAAAGGCAGATGGGGTGGAAAGGGAAATACCTCTTTGGTTGTGGGTTCGGATTGTAAGTGGCAGAGGATGATACGCTGCATGCAGAGGTTGGTGGGGTGATATGTGAGGACAAGAGCGATTCTGTGTTTATTTTTATTGGGGGTCTAACCCTACCATACACGGCACCTTTCCCTGCAACCACAGGAATTGCTACACCTGCCCCTACACCTCCCGCCTCACCGCCATTCAAGGCACAAAACAAACTTTTCATATCCAACAGGGGCTCACCTATACATCCGCCAACTTGGTCGACTGTATCCGCTGCTCCCGATGTGGCCTCCTCTACATTGGTGAGACCAAGCGTAGACTCTGGGACAGTTTCATAGAGCACCTGTACACTACTAATGACAACCCCTTCCAGCCACGAACCATTTTAACTCTCTTCTTCTCTCTCCTCCCCCGCCGGATGACATGTCCATCCTGGGCTGCCTCCAGTGTCACAACACCACCCACAAACTGGAGGAGCAGCAGCCCATATTCCATCTCAGGAGCCTACAGCCTGATGGCCTAAACGTGGAATTCACCAGTTTCAAAATCTCCTCACCCCAGCCTCATCCCATGTCCAACCCTCCCTCTCATCCCCGCCTCCTTGATCTGACACAACCTATCCATCTTCTCTCCCACTTTTCCACCCCACCCATCTCACTGACGAATCCCCACTACTCCCTACTTGCATTCACCTATCATCATCCCACTTATCCTCCCCAGCCCCACCCCTCCTCTCTATTTATTTCTGAGCCCCCTTCCCCCTCCCCCATTTCTGAAGAAGGGTCCTGACCTGAAATGTCAACATTCCTGCTCCTCTGATGCTGTCTGGCCTGTTGTCTTCCTCCAGCTCCACACAGTTGTCTCTTGCAACATTTGGTGCATGGTACCAAACATTAGCATATTTCATTGGTGAAAACTATTGTTTGGTCTGAGGATTTTATAACCACTGCTGTCTTTTAAGCCGTGCAGTCGTGCCACAAACAAAAAGTCTCCGTACAGGCCATGCATAAGTTGGCTTCTTTTAAATTACTATACCTGATGTGCATGACTGTATAAATAAATTGTAGGGGCTGTGCGCTTAAATTCTAGGATGTCTAGAATTTAAAAACTAGGCTGCAGTGATGCTGGTACAGTCGCAGATATAAGCAAGGCTTCAAACTGAAAAACAAATCCCAATACTGCCAGGTTCTCCATTTGCAAGTTCATAAGTCTCACTCAACTACTGTTCAAATTAGGTATTTCATTGTTTTGTAAACCCAGACTATGACATGGCACAAGTTGTTACCAACTACAGATGCACCGTTATTTCTGTATATTGATTATTCACAGATCCTGTTAATTGTTAAATTCAGAAGAATGTCCACGCCAAGACAAGATAACTATCATCATGTAACAACAGAAGATGTTTTGAGTCAAAAATCTGAAGCAGAGTAAGTTTTAAAACAAAAATTAGCACATGAAAAGTTGCCTTTTACTTGTTTGTTTTAAATCAACAAGCAATCTTGCTTGTATGTTTAGAAGTACCGAGTTAAAATTCACTTATAGATTCTGCACCCATATATCTGTGACATTCTCACTTAGTCACCAGCTCAGTTCCTTGCTGATTCTTTTGCTTGCATTTTGTCTCCCATAATCCCTCCACTGCCTCTGCTTTTTGTCGACTGCTCCCAGGGGGCATCCTCCTTGCAGTTACCATGTCTGGTCCTGCAATAGGTTTTTATGATATCTCCCGTCAATCTCTTAAACACCAGTGAATATCGTTCCAAATGACCTAGTTTTTCTTTTATGCATCAGTCCTGACATCCCAGGAATCAGTTTGGTAGGAATTTTGCAGTCCCTCCATGGCCAGAACACCTTCCTCAGGTAAGGCAACAAAAACTGCATACAGTACTCCAAGTGTTGTTTTACCAAGACCCTGTAAAACTGCAGCAAGGCATCTCTTTCGCTCCTGTACTCAAATCCTGTCGCCATAAAGGCCAACTTATCATTTGCATTGTTCGCCATCTGCTGCACCTGCATGCTTACTTTCAGAGACTGATGTACAAGGACACCCAGGTCTCATTGCCATCCCCTTTCCCAATCTATCACCTGTCAGCAAATTGCCTGCCTTCCTAGTTTTGCTACCAAAGTGGATAACCTTACATTTATCCACATTCTAGTTCATCTACCATCCATTTGTCCTCTTACTCAACTTGTCCAAATCTCAATGAAGTGTCTGTGCATAATACTCGTAGTTCACTCTTCCAGCCAGTCTTGTGTCTTCTGAAAACCTGTAGATATTACGTTTAGTTCTCTCATCTAAGTCATTAATATACATTGTGAATAGCTGGGGTCCTTGCACTGACCCCTCTGGCACCTCACTAGTCACTGCCTACCATAGAGTCATGGCATTATACAGCACGGAAACAGACCCTTTGTTCCAACTTGTCCATGTTGACCTGATTTCCTGAACTGGTCTAGTCCCATTCGTCAGCGTTTGGCTCATATCCATCTAAACCCTTACTTTTCATCTACCCATCCAGGTGCCTCCAAAATGTTGTAATTGTACCCACCTCCTCCAGCAGCTTGTTCCATATAAGCACCACTTCTGTGTGGACAAAGTTGCCCCTCAGATTACTTTTCAATCATTCCCCTCTCACCTTAAACCTATGCTCTCTAGTTTCAGACTCCCCTACCACTTGGGGAAAAAACCCATTTATTCCTACTCTTAAATCTTCAAGTTGTAGCTAGAATAGAGAGAAACATTTCTCAGTTGTGGTGGGGGTGAGAACCAGGGGTGAGTAACTTTTAAGTTGATTTGGAAAAGAGCCAACAGTGATATGAGGAAAACCTTTTTTGAAAGCACTGAGCGAAACCTTCAACATAAATGTTGCGCATTCAAAAGGGCTAAAGCTGCGAAAAGGGCTAAATGTCTGGAGCTATGAAGAAAAGGCACAAAACTGCAACTGGCATGGCAGAGTTGCTCTGGCATAGATACACTGGGCTGAATAGCTAACACTTCTGTTGTAGCCATTCTACAATGCACCAAATGCCATTCATCAACCTTGTGCTTGCAGATCTACTTTGTTTCTATCTTAGCACAGTTGGCTGGACAACTGGTTTGCAATGCAGAATAATACCATCAGTGTGGATTCAAGTCCTGCATTGACTGAGGTTATCATGAAGTACTGTCCTTCTAACCTCTCCCCTCGCCTGAGGTGTGGTGACACTCCAGTTAAACTCACCAATTTTAGTCTGTCTAATGAGAAAGCAGCCCTATGGTCTAGTAAGGTGATGGTGACTTTGCTTTGCCTCTGATCTCTGAGCAGCTCCTTTTTAAAATGGGCCAGTTTTTATATACTCCTATCCTGGGACAGAGATGAAAGTAAAGTCCAGTACATGATGTTCCTGTTGCCTATCTTGTTAGCTTCTGCATAAAATTTTTTGGGGTTAGGAAATGCCTTAGGCAGCTTATTTGGCCTTGACCCTATTTAAGCCCTTCAGAAACCAATTAATGACTACTTAACCACCTCATCATGCCATTGTCCGTATATTGTCCCCAGTAGTGAGAGGCTCATGCCATGTGCAAAGCCTGACTGCTATAGGGAAGGGAGCTGGGTGAAATCTCCCCACAACCACTGCTGCTCTCACCGAAAGAGCCGAGAGCCCTGCAACCCCCAAACCACAAGGCCGAGGCCTCCATTCATATGCTTGCCTGGGATCTCTTTCACTTGATTGGCTGGCAGTTCTCTAAGATGGGACTTTCTCCTGTGAGATAGAAGCCTCACCTTAATGCAATTCATGCTGCTGATCCCAGTGTTAAATTGCTGCAATGCAGTCAGGATTATGGATGGGCCACCCCCATCTGAATATTTAGCTGGGGTGGAAATGGCACACTTGTAAACTTCAGCCCCTTGCACACAAGTTCTCTATGGTCTTCTCCCTCTTTAGGTCTGTAAACTGCTCTAGTCCCTTGCAACCCTTCACCAAATCTCACTGTTGTCCACTTCAGAGCTCCTTAATCTCCACCGTTAGTGGCCTTCAACTGTACAGGCCCTAAGTTCTGGATTTCCCTCTGTAAACCTCTCTAACGTCAATGCCATCTTTAAAACCTTATGCTTTGACTAAGCTTTGATTTTCCCTTTTTAATATCAATATCAATAATTAATAGAAGTAGAAGACTCATTGATTTGTCAGCAACTAGGGGTGGAAAAGAACTTTCTTTTTTGCCAAGTTTGTTTTTGAGCCCTGATCTATGGTTATTTTAAGTGCTGCAATAGCAGATTTTTAATTTTGCTTTTCTCATTTTTGTTTCAGTTACCCAGTCCTTGGAGAGTATCTGCAATATTAAGATGGAAGTGGAGTCAGCTGAGGTGAACACGCTGCTACCTGAGGAGATAATGGACACGGTCATCGTCGACGATGATAGTATTGAGGCTGTCACAATAACCTCAGAGCATGGTGATCCAGTTCCCATGGAAACTGAGCTCGAGGAAATTATAGATCCAAATCAAGGCAAGAACTCCGAGATTCTGTCGAGCATTACAGACCAGGTCACCGTGTTGACAAATAGTACTACACCGTTTGTTTTAAGTGACCCAAGTATAAAGATGGAAATTAATACTTCTGATAGTACATCAAAGGCTACTGGTAAAATCAGCCTCCCAAGCACAACTGCTGGAACACCTATATCTTTAGCAGGAAATCAGATTGTCCTTAACCCAGTATCCGAACACTCTGATTACACCATCTCCAACCAAGCTATGAAATCAGAACCAGTAGGGCAGCAACTGGTAGTGACTACCCTCGGAAAGTCTCGACAGTCCATCGTACTTTCACTGCCACCAAGTCAAGGAGCTCACCTTCAAGTCTCATCTCAATTACCAGCAATGGACCCACAGGGGCAGAAACAAATAAAGGTAGTTACTCTTGGTGGAAGAGTTGAGGGAAAGACACTAACTGGAGTATCAAATATGTTGGCTTCTGGAAATACTTCTCTAAATGCATCAACTCCGCCTACACAAAATCAGGTAAATGATAAAGTGCTTCTAATAAAATTCAGTGACTACTGAAACTTTAGAGACGGCATATTTAATGAATGGCAGAAACTTAATGGCAGGCCTGTAGGTGTCAGCAAAGGAAAAGCCCTACGTGACATTGTCATACCATGAACTATAAACTTCATGAGAGGATGGACTATCTCTGATACCTCCCTCTCCTTCCTGGACCTCTCTGTCTCTATCTCTGTTGAACGGTTTGAAACGGACATCTATTTCAAGCCTACCGACTCGCACAGCTACCAAGGCGACACCGGCTCTCCCCCACCTTTCTGCAAGAATGCAATCCTCCACTCCCAATTCCTCCACCTCTGCCGCATCAGCCCCCAAGATGGGGTGTTCCACTCCTGCACAACCCAGATGTCCTCCTATTTCAAGGACCGTAACTCTTCTCTTCCACTCCCCCGACCGTGACTGAAAATGCCCTCAACCACATCTCTTGCATTTCCCGCACTACTGCCCTCACATCATCTCCCCCCAACATCTGCGCTCTGTTCGCGACAGACAACACCTTCCAGTCGCGAGCCATTTTAACTCCCCCTCCCACTCCCTGGGTGGCATGTCCATCCTGGGCCGCCTCCAGTGTCACAAACTGGAGGAGCAACACCTCATATTCCACCTTGGGAGCCTACAACCCAATGGCCTAAACGTGGATTTTACCAGTTTCAAAATCTCCCCACCCCGGCCTCATCCCATGTCCAACCCTCCCTCACATGCCCACCTCCTTGACCTGACACAACCTGTCCATCTTCTCTCCCACCTATCTGCCCCTCCCACTTCACTGACCAATCCCTACCTGCACTCATCTGTCACCATCCCAACTACCTTCCCCAGCCCCGCCCCACCCCTCCCCTCTCTATTTCTACATTCCCTTTCTCCTCCCCATTTCTGAAGAAGGGTCCTGGTGCCTGGCCTACTGTATTATCTCTGACTCCAGAATCTGCAGTTCTTGCTATCTCTGAGATGGTTTGCAGTCTGATTAGCTAGGGACAGCTTGTCACTTCTGTGAAGTGGGTCTTGGGTCACAACTAAGTGACAACTGAACTTAGCCCTTTCTCCCAAGTTCTTCCCTGTTTTTTGTTTATTACACCCTTGCTTTCTTCCCTCTTTCTTGCCTGTCATTCTAGGCAACTGTGATTTGCTGTTTGTATTTCCTAAAAGGACTTTCACTACTGCTGGCAATGCTGGGTTCATCAGTTGTGTGGATTTTTCTTTTATTACCTGGTGAAAAATGCAGAATGAAAGAAATTTTAAAAAAATTACTGATGATGAAGGGCTTCTATTTCAACTTAGTTTATTCAAAGTAGTCCTCGTCTATTTTGTCAGCAGCGGCTTAGTTTGTAGCATCCCTATCGCGGTTATGAAGTCAAGTTCCTCTCCAGAAATATGAGCAGAAAAATCTAGACTAATACTCCACTGCAGCACTAGAGGGAATGCAATACTATTAGAGGTAGGATCTTCTGGATGAACTGTTAAACTGAAACCCTGTCTGTGCTCTCTGATCAATGTAAAAGAACCCACAATTCAAAGAAGAGCAGGACCTTGTAGAATCATGGCTCAATCAAGATCACAAATTCAGGTTATCTGGGTGTCATCATTTTGCTGTTCGTGGGAGCTAGCTGTGCACAAATTGCTTGCTGTGCTTCTTAAATTACAACAGTGACTGCACTTGGAAAAAGTACATAATTGTCTGCAAAGTACTATGGGCATCCTGAGTTTGTCAATCAAACCTTTAATGATGCAAATCTTTAGTTTAATTTCTGCTGTGTTTGTAATTCTCACATCTTTGTATCCCCTACTTTTATATTTAAAAGAATTCCATGTGATCATTTATCGTCTGAAGAAAACCTTCCCATTACCAGTCCTAAAGATAATTTGTATCCATTTGTTCAAGTGCCACTATTTAAAGTAGTATTTGATATTAACTGCCTCCATGTTAGTTTTATATGACTCTGCCAGATCACAACTGCAAGATGTCCATGTAGGCTTAAAAGTCTTAGAGTTCTCCTATTTCCTGAAATTGCTGATGAGATTTCAACCTCGTAGTTCTTTTCCATAATGCTTCGCATCTAAATGTCTCTTGTTGCCACCAGGACTGGGTATGGTCTGACTGAGCGCTGTACAATTTGAATTACATATGAACATGGAGCAGAGCAGGCTATTTGCCTGTGAAAGGGAAATCCTTTTTAATTAAGATGCCGAAGTGTGGAGCTGGAGGAACACAGCAGGCCAGGCAGCATCAGAGGGGCAGGAAAGTTGACGTTTCGGATCAGGACCCTTCTTCAGAAATGGGGAGTGGGAAGGGAGCTCTGAAATAAATAGAGAGAGGGGTGAGGCTGGAGAAGGTAGGTGGGATTGTGATAGGTGAGTGGATGTCTGGAGTGGTGAGGATCGGTTAGCCTACTCTGCTATTTAATAAGAGCATGGTAGCCCTCAATCCACAATCCCACTTATTTTTTAAGGTGGTTACCTTTCACCCTCTTGCTTACCAAGAATCTATCCACTTCTGCCTTTTAAAAATATTGAAAGACTTTGCTTCTTCTGCCTTTTAAGGAAGAAGACTCGACCCTCTGAGAGAAAAAGAATTCACCTGAACTGTTTTCAAGAGATGACCCTTTATTTTTAAATAGTGATCCCTATTTTTTAGATTCTCTCAAGAGGAAAAAACCATTCTCATCTAACCTGTCAAGTCCCTCACAATCTTGCATGTTTCAGTTTCTTAAGCTGTAGCGGATATGCAATTAACCTGTCCAGCCTTTACTCGTAAGACATCCCACCCCATTCTATTAATTAGTCTGGGAAACCTTCCTTCAACCACCTTCAATTAACTTATGTCCTTCATCAAATAAGATGACCAATACTATATGCAATAACTAAAGCATAAATTCCTACTTTTGTTTCCATTCTGCTTGCAAGAAACGATAACATTCTATTAATTTCCTAATTAGTTGCTGTACATAGATACTAGCTTTTTGTATTCATGCACTAGGACTCCCAGATCCTTCTATTTCTTACAGCTCTAAAACCTCTCACCATTTAGATAACTTCTTATTTTCTATTCTTCCTACAAAGTTGTCAGTTTTATATTCTACATTATACTCCAATTGCTAGATCATTGCCCACTCAACTAACCTTGTTGCATCCTCTTCAGAGCTTACCTTCTACCACCTTTCTGACATCAGCAAATTTGGCAGTTATATCTTCTGTCCCTTCATCCAAGTTATTTCTTTCTAAATTGTGAACAGTTAAGGTCCCGGCACTTATCCTATCACCTACCATTTGTTTCACCTTGCAAACCTGATAAATACCCATGTTTGCCCACTGTCTGGTTCTAGTTAGCCAGCCAATCTTCTACATAAGGCAATGTACAATCCTGTACACCAAGAACTTCTTTCATCAATAACCGTAACAGGGCACCGTACTCTAGAAATCTTAGCGCCATACATCCACTGATTCCATTTTATCCATAGCATATGTTACTATTTCAAAGAACGCCAATAAGTTAATTAAAAAGGATCTCCCTTTCAAAAATCCATGCTGACTTTGCCTAATTATTGTGAACTTATACAGATGCCTGTCTATAACTACTGTAGTAATAGCCTCTAACATTTTCCTCATGATAGATCCCGACCAGAAATGTCAACTTTCCTGCTCCTCTAATGCTGTCTGGTCTGCTGTGTTCCTCCAGCTCCACACTATCTTATCTCTGACTCCAGCATCGGCAGTTCTTACTATCTCTGCCAAGTAGTTTCCTGCTTTTTCTTCCCTTTTTAAATTAAGAAGTTAGATTTGCTATCTTCCAACCTAACAGGACCTTCCAGAATAGATGGAATTTTGGAAAATTAAAACCAATGCATTAATTATCTCACTGACCACTTTTTAAAGACCTTTGGATGAAGTCAATCAGGACCCAGGCACTTATTGACCTGCACCTCCGAACAGCTTACTCACCAGAGAATTGGAGTTAATTTTCCCGAGTTCCACCATCCGTTCCATTACCTGATTTGTAGCTACTTTTGCGATGTTGCTTGTATTCTGTGGTGAACATAGATGCAGGCTACAAATGTTGGAGATCATAATGGGTCAGACAGAATCCATGGAGAGAGAGCAAGCCAACATTTCAAGTCTAGATGACACTTCTTCAGAGCTGAAGTGAAGCGTGGAGTCGACCGCATTTATGCAATAGTTTGGGGGTGAGGGCGTGGGGACAGTGGGTGTAGGGTGTTGGTGGAGAAAAGATGTTGATAGTTCAGATTAAATGATCGGAATGTGAGAATGGCAGAACAGTGGTGTCTCCTGCCATTTGAAAGGACAGTAAGTGGAATGAGGGGAGGCGAGGCGATGATGATGAGCTAAAAGAAAGGGAAGAAAAGTTGACAATTTAAAGGTGTTGTGCTCAATACTAAGTCCAGAAGGCTGTAAAGTATCTGGTCTGCAGATGAGATGTTGTTCCTCCAGTTTGCACTGTGATTCTCTGGAACACTGCAGCATGCCGAGGATAGACATGGGCATGCAAGCAGAACACTTAAAAGTACCAGCTGTGGAAAGGTCAGGCTTTGCAAAGAGGTCACCCAGCCTGTGTTTGGTTTCTGCAATGTAGAGGAGGCCACGTTGGGTGCAGCAAATACAATACGCAAGATTGGAGGAGGTACAGATGAAAAATTGCTTCACATGTCTCTCTCTTTCCTCCTCCTCCTCCCCGCCCCCATCCTAGTTACTGTCCTTCCAAATCTGGCAGTAGACACAGCATTGTTCTGCCATTCTCGCATTCCAATGACTTAATCTGAACTATCAACACCTTTTCTGCACCAGCACCCTACACACTGTACCACCCCCACCCACCCACACTCTCAAAACAAACTATCGCACTTCTCTTCAGCTCTGAAGAGTCACCTAGACTCAACGTTAGCTTGTTCTCTCTCCATGGATGCTGTCTAACCCGCTGTGATCTCCAGCATTTGTTGTTTGCAGTA